CCCAAGCCACGGCCGGCTGGGGACACGGTGTGCGGCGGGAACAGGGCGTGTGTTTACATAGGGTGCCTGGAGGCCAGCAGCATGGGACAAGGGCTCATTGTGTCCCCGGCCGCCCCTCCCCGCCAGCCTGTCCACAGCACCCTGCCCCCTCCCTGCCCCCTGCCCCTCGTCCGTGGCCCCTGCGCCCTCTCCCCCACCAGCATGCACTGGGGCGCCAGGCCCGAGCCCTCATGACGCTCCCTACCTTGAGCACCAACTCCTCCCCCCCCCCACATGGAGCTGCCTGCTGCTCCTCTAGGACTGCCCCTTCTCAGTCCTGATGGGTCACTGCACACGCACAGAGCCTGCCCACGCTCTCTCCCACGGGACCTGACGGCAGTGCAGCCCCTGGGCAAATGGGCACGCTCCATCGCTGCATCCCGGGACAGGAGGACACAGGCACAGGTGCAGGTGCACACGCGCACACGCGCACACGCACGCACGCCAGGGGCTTCCCTGTGGACTGACCTCAGGGAAGGAGGGCCCAGCTGAATCCATGGCTAGAAGGGCTCCTGGGGTGGGGGTGGGGGCAGCTAGGGTGTGTGGGCACAGCTTCACACCCACCCTGGGGGGCCTGGGGTCTGCTCCCTCCCCCTCCCCCACCTGAGGCATCTGACGCCCAGGCTCACAGAGGTCTCAGGTGAGCAGCAAGTGAAGCCCTGGGGGCCTTGGGACAGGGACAGGCCCAGAGCTCGCTATGTACAGCCTGTCTGACGGGTAGAGTGTGACATGTGTGTGTGCGCGTGTGTGCATGTGCGCGTGCGCGTGCTTCTCACGTGGACAGCATGGACTGGGGCCAGCCAGGAGGGTGGCAGAACAGGCTGGGCCTGCGTCATGGGCATCACTTACGACAGCACCGGGGCAGGTATCTGCCTGCCGGAGGCGTTGGCTCAGCGGGAGGTGGCCTAGCAGGAGCAGCAGAGCCTGGGAGGCCAGGTCCAGCAGTGCCCAGCCACTCCACCCCTTCCCAGTTCTGCCATGCCAAGCTGGGAGCAGGGAACCGCGTGGAGACTAGGACAGGGTTGGGAGCCTGGACCTGCCTGGGCCCTAGGTAGGGACAAGACCCCCCTGCCCCCATCCCCACCTCAGCACACACACCCCCCCCCGCCCCACACAGGCAGCCAGCCAGGGCCCTCCAGAGCCCTTGATCTGGGCTACAGCAGGGCCTGCCCAACATCTGCCCAACTCTGACTCACATGACCCAGCGGCCAGGCTAGCCCCTGCCTCTCCTGCCCAGTCCTGACTGCAGGTTCCAGCCTTGCACAGACAGGCGGTCACTTCTGCTGAGTCTGGGTCCTGGCCAAGCCGGACTTCATATTGCCAAGCCTGGCAGGGGTCCCTCAGTCCTAGGGAGCCGGCCCTCCCCTGGCCCCTGATCAGCTCTCTTGTCTGGCCAAAATGCCCCTGGCCACACCCTGGTGTGTTCAGCTCAGGAAACCCTGCAGGCCGGGGCCCTGCCTCTCCGGCCCAGCCCCCACCCCAGCAGCCTGGGACGGGCCTCCACGTGCCCACCTGTAAGTCAGGATCAAAAGGAGGATGTACCGAGGCGTGGCGGGGGCTGACTTCTCTATTTTTTTTTTTTGTCGGTCGTGGAGCTTGAACTCTGGGCCTGGGCACTGTCCCTCAGCTCTTCAGCCCAAGGTGAGCGCTCTACCACTTGAGCTACAGCGCCACTTCCGGTTTTCTGGTGGTTTATTGGAGATAGGAGTCTCACGGTTTTTCCTGCCTGGGCTGGCTTTGAACCGCGATCCTCAGATCTCAGCCTCCTGAGTAGCTAGGATTACAGGCATGAGCCACCAGCGCCTGGCTTGACTTCTCTTTGACAGGCTGTGGTATCACCAGGAATGCCTAGATCCAGGGGGAGCCCTCTCGCCAGGCCTGACCTGCAAACCCCCTGCTGGGTACAGAGAGCCACGCGTTCTGCCCAGAGATAAAGGTGCTTGTTGGGGTGCTGGGGGCAGATCAGGCTGGCTCCACGGGCTGGCTCCTCATGTACCCCAAAGCTCATTTCTCTCGAAGTCCTACCAGGGCAGGTGGTGCTGCCTGCAGACCCATCCTACAACAGAGAACCGAGGCCCAGCGGGCTCCACCTGTCCTCACGGGCAACAGGGGGCTGGCGAGGCACCGTGAGCAGAACGTGTTCAGAAGCAGGCACAGCCTCGGACGGGGGCTGCGGGGGCACCGCAGGCCCTGCGAGCAGCAGGCCTGGGTCAGGGTGGAGACGAGCAGAGAGCAGGCTGCAGCCTTCTCCTGCCTGGCCGGGCTCCAGGGCAGCCCGTGCCCTGGCCTCAGAGCCACTGACCCGCCGGCCTGGGAGGGACACCCCAAAACGGAGCAGCAGCGTCCCAGAAACCACGAGTCAGCAGCTCCCGCCCCTCCCAGCCATGAAACCAGCGGGTGTGGATGAGGAGAGAGAGGGCGTGGGGCCCGAGTCCACCTCCCACCCCTCTGGGCAGAGGCCTGGGTGGGGTGTGACCCCTTGGTCTGGGGGTCCTCCTGGGCCCTGCTGGTGGTCAGGGAGACACAAGGCCCAGCACCACCTGCTCAGGTGACTTGCTCTGGCAGAAAGTGGGCCTGTGTCCTCTGGGCACCCTGTTCAGACTGGGGCACCTCCTCCTCATCACCTGGTACCCCTGGGGGCGCAGGGGCAGCCAGCACCTGGCCCCCGGAAGCCCTTTCCCTCCTTCCTTCCAGCACTGTCCATTCCTGATTGGCTGGAGCTCGGGATGGGGCAGCCATTGGGCTGGACTGGATGCATGCACATGGCACCCGCCCCACTGCCTTGGGCTTGGCAGGCCACTCCCTCTGCTCCCCCACCCCCCCACAACACGTCTGCCTGCGGCCTAGCTTCTCAACCTTTCCAGGTCCCGAAGACCTGGCTTTAGGCCTGCCGGGCCTCAGACCATCCCTGGGTGAGGCCCGGGTCTGGAGCAGCAGTAGGTGCTGGTGAGGGGCCCGGTGGGCAGGGGTGAGGTGGGGAGTGTGGGCACCCCATCCGGACAGCGGGAGGACCCAAGTGTCCCACCCAACAGACCAACCAGCCGCAAAGGCACACGGCCAAGCTCGTGCCCCGGGCCTGGCGCAGGTGTGCACTCAGCGTGCTCTCCAGGCTCTGCCCCGGCTGGCAAGCCATTGTGGCACTTTGGGGTGTCCATCCCCGGAGCTCAGGTGCAGTGCCTCCTCCAGGAAGTTCCTGCAGCTCTTGCTTTGAGAGAAGGTCGCATGGGCAGCAGCAGGTGCTCAGGGCAAGCTGGCCAGGAGCTAGGGCAGCCCCCCTCCAAGGCTGCACAGCCCGTGTGCGGACCCAGCGGGCCCCACCTGACACTTCCCAGGAACAGGGAAGTCACCTGCGGCTGGCACAGAGCCCAGCCGCTTCTCCACCGGGTGCCCCGCCCAAGCCACCTCACCGCCCGGGGCCAGAGATGGGCACAGGGAAGGGCTCTCCCCTGAGCCTCTGCTGGCCTGGACTCTGCTCCCTTAGCCGCTCAGGCCTCCCAGCCCCTCCCCCAGCACACAGGACACAGACTCCCAATGGCCCAAGAAAACTGAGGGCTAGGCTAGGGCTGAAGGCCAGGCCACCCCTCCCCCACACCAGCACACTTGGTCAGCAGGCCTTGGGCTGGGACGTCTCCAGGCCGAGGGCCTCCTTGGGCTGGGAGCCCTGGAGCTCTGCTCAGCTCCCATTTGGGTCCCCAGAGTGTTCTGCAAGGCAGGGCAGGGGGAGAGCTGACCAGGAGACCACCAAGCACCAGTGTCCAGCCTAAGGAGTGTCCGTTTTGTGGACTGGTCCCATGGAGCCGGCCCAGCTCCATGTCCACACTGGCCGCCCAGTGTCAGCCCCTACCTGAGGGTCTGGCCGGCTCCCAGCAGACCCGAGGCGTGAGGGGCAAGGGCGGGCTCCGCAGCCTCCTGCGCCCACAGGCACCTCTGACACAGAGAGGCACAAACACGTGCTGGGTCCCTTCTAATCCTTTCTCAATAGGCAGAACTCGGGGTCACTTCTTCCTCAGAACCACTGACTGCCCCCCACAACATGCCTGGGCACCTATCTCCCCAGGAACATTTCTGAGCCGTGAAAGAAGGGCCACAAGGACTAGGTGCTCAAGTTTGTCAGCCTCAAGCTGTGTGGGAGCCGTTCAGGGCTGTCAGGGAGGGGCTAGATCAGGCCTGACCTGAAGCCTGTCATCTGCTCTGCCCTGTTTCTGTCTAAGCCTGACCTGTTCTTGGACACAGCTCGTGTTCTGGCAGCTGCACTCCTGTGTGAGGGCTTGGCAGGGCTAGCTGCCACCCATGTATTTGTCTTTCCCCCGAAGTCCCCAGTCCTGAGAAGGTCCCTGTTCTCCCTGCGTGTGCATGCATGCGCGTGTGCGCACACGTGCACACACACACGCAGTATCTCTAGGCAGATGTGCAGTGCAGGAGTATGCTGCACACAGAAGGCATGCAGGAAGTGCATGTGAAGGGACATCTCCAGGCCACGATCGTGCTCAAAGCTAGATCCCCAAATCCTCCTCCCTACTCCACTAGAAGAGACCAGGAGTGAGCTCGCTGGAAGCACCTCCCCCTGCCCCCCGCAGTGAGGGGACCATGCACACAGGAGAATTCTCCCCATCTACCTTCATGCCCACCTGGGCTGCTTGGTCATGTTGGTCTTCACCCCAGGCCAGCTCACCCCAGGGCGCGCTGGGAGTATATGGATGAAGTTCTGAGCCTGTGACCCCCACTGCCTCCATGACCCCGTACTCGGGGCGGGCAGGCGTTTCACAGGTTAACTCCTGACCTCTGGAGGCTCCACCCCGCCACAATGCGGGGGCTGAGGCCGGGAGGGGCCAGAGCCCCGGCGTTGGAGGTGGGACAGAAGCAGTGAGGCCCTGGCCTGTGTGCAGTGGAAGCCCAGCCTGGGGATCGAGGACTGTCTTCAGAGGGGCCTGGGTCAGGCATGGAGGCGTGGGGCTGGCGTGATGAGCCGTGTGGAGCCAGAGGGCGGGGTGAGGGGCACCCTCCACCCAGCCGGCTGCCGCCGTGGTCCCGGCCCAGCTGGCCCCGGTGTCGGGACAGCCAGGACACCTGGCTCTCCTTGCTCACCATTCCCCTGCCTCCGAGGTCCACGAGCCAAGGAAGCTGCAGCTGTTTGCGCGACCATGGGAATTTGCAATCCGGTCCACGCACAGTCTAGCTTAAGTCTGGACACAGCTTGGCATCCTCTCTGCTTTTTCAGGGTCTTTTCTGCTGAGGCCTGGTGGCCTTCCCCGGGTGTGGGCCCAGCCCGTGAACAGCTCATGGTAAACCATCCTCGGCAGTAGCAGGGGACTATGCCAAGGCCGGGGAGCACAGGGCAGGCCTGGGTGGAGGCCTGGGGACCGGTCAGGGCCCCTGTGTGGGGAGATGGTATCCGTCAGCCTCTGCCGCAGGGGCTGGGCCAGAGTTCGCCCAGGCTGGCGTCCAGGTCAGCACTGAACCCTTCGACTCTGGGACACCTCTGGTGAAACATTGCAAAATCCTGGCTGGCTCTGCTCCCCATGGGTGAGAGGCCGCACCCAGCAGCTCTGGGAAGGAGGGGAAGGACGTCTCCTGTGCTGGGAGCACTTTCCAGCCGACCCCTAGCTGTGGCCCGGGGCAGACTGGCTCTAGGGGTAGGCAGGACACTGAACCAACTGGCCAGGGCCAGGGTCAGGGCAACGCTGGACTGGCATAGCCCAGGGCCAGGGGTCAGGGTCTGAACAGAGACCATGAATGGCAGCAGGTACTGGCTCCAGCTGTGTCCATCTGATGACTGTCCAGCTGGGCACAAGGGTTGGCAAAGGGCCAACCCAGCCATGGCCAGTCCCTTCTGTAGTGGACTTACAGTTAGAGTGGTTGGGGCACAAGTGGACTGTCCACTGCTGGGACTGCCCCTATGTCTGAAAAGCCCGACTCCAGGATGAGGCTGAGAGAAGATGGTGGGCTAGCAGGGAGAAGGTGCGGGACTTGGACAGAGCCACAGGCCTCGTGGGGGTGAGGAGATCCCAGGCATGGCCTGTCTGGAGGAAGAATTAAAGATGACCAGGACAGAGTCAAGCAGACCTGTGGGACACCTAGGACCATCTGGACAGAAGCTGATTGAAGTGGATGGGTGCTGGCAGTGGACAAGGTTACCAGGGACAGAGAGAGGATCCAAGATAGGCTGAGAGGAGGGGAGCAGGTGGGCATGGCTGGGGTTGGGTGGTGACTCTACCCTCCCCTTCCCCTAGCTCCCTGGGGGTGTCTCAAGTGGGTGTGATTCGATGCATGTGTGTAAGTGTGTTTGCAAGCCATTCTGAGCAGGGTCACAGCGTGTAAGCAGGTTTGTGAGGGAGGGAGACTGAGACCCAGCCCTCTCCATCCAGCTCTGCCTAACTCAGGGAGACTAGCCTGGACAGGGCCACCGCAGCTACAGCACAGCCCTCCCTGGTCAGGATAGCTTCACATCCAGTTCACTGCACGCTGGTTAACTGTGGAGAGCTGGGTGAGGGACAGGTGCAGACTTTCTGAAGGATCTGCCCTGCTCCCCTGCTGTGAGAGGGAGGTGAGGCCCCCACTGCCCTAAAGCCCCTCTCAGCAGGTGTGTGTGCGCGCACACACACATACGTATGTGGATGTGTGTGCTGGGTCTCTACAGTCAGACCCTGGCCCAGCCCCCTCTCCCTGCTTCTCCTGGCCTTAGGAGAGCCCTCTTGCTGCTACTGTGGGCTGGGACTACTCATAAGGCTCAGAACAATTTCTCAGGCCCAGCAAATAGGCCTTCCAGAAACTGAAAATAACAAACCCACAAACAGGTGGAGAGGGGGGTCCCTCGCAGGGACCAGGGACCGTGGGAGGGATGGGCAGAAAGGCCTGAAGCCCTCAGGCCTCGAAATTTGGCAGGGCAACCCTGTGGTGAGGAGGGCGCTGAGGGGAGCCATCAGAGCTTCCATTGGCCAAGCTGATACGTGGGAGTGGCCACCTCACAGCAAGGCCCCCCGGGGGGGGCAACCCCTGCTCCCTCCCGGTGATGCCTGGGTTCCCCCCCCCCTCCCCGGGGAGGGAGGATCTGAGCTGGGAGGATTAGGCCCTTTCAGACAGATGCCCAGCTACAGAATGAAGGCCAGGCCCACAGGAGGCCTGGGCTCAGGGCCCAGGAGAAGGGCTGGAGCAGGCCCCGGAGTGGCAGGCAGTGACAACAGTGGACACTGAAGGGTGGGAAGCCAGACTCTGAGGCTGGTGTGGGTGCAATCACCGCAGTGGGCCAGGCACATCAGCCTAGACACTCAAACCCGGATAAGCGTGTGTACCTGCGTGGGAGCGCACGTGCGTATACCTGACATCAGCCCACTTCAGGGCTGCGCGGGGGCTGGCGGCCACTGGAGTCTGTGTCCCCAGCTGCCCGGGCCACCGCCCTGAGGTGGGTCAGCCCACGGCGCGGTGAGTCTGGGAGCACAGGCCCTGGTCAAGTAGACCCGGGTCGCAGAGGCGGGCCCAGCGCCGGGGCAAAGGTGCAAGGAGGGGCGGTGAGGTGATCGGGAGCCCCGCGGCTGCGGCTCCGCGGGGGGCAGTGCGGAGCAGAGGCCGGCCGGGCCGGGGCCACGTGCGCGCTGGGGCGCGGGGCCGCCGGTGACGCAACGCACGATGTCAACGCCGGCCCGGCGGCGGAGGCGTCCCCACCGACTTCCGGCTCTCCTCGGGACCCCGCACCTCGCAGTTGGAGGCACGCAAGTCGCCCGCTGGGGTGCGGGGAAAGGGACGCACGCGCGCGCCCGCCACCGCCGCCGCGCCCCGCGGTGACCTTCCTCCGCACCGCCTGGGGCGGAGCCCGAAGTGTGACCACGCCCCTGCCTCCCCATTGGCTGTGCTCTAATTCCTCCGTGTCCTTTCAAAACCTCGGCTCCTATTGGCTCACGCGGCCCCACCCGCGCGCCCCGCCTCGCGCCCGCCCCCAAGCTGCGCCTGCGCAGGGTGAGCGAGCGCGCGGCGAGACGCAGCGCGGCGAGGGAGCAGCGCGCCGTGCGCCTCCGCGACTCTACTACGGAGAGCTAGTCCCGGCGCGTAGCCGCCTCCGCCTCCGCGCGGCTCCCGCCGCCCCGATAGGCAGCGCCGGGAAAGGAGGGGGGTACCCGCGTCTCACTGGCTGGCACCGAGCCGCGGCGCGCTCC